GGTTTAACGACACATTTATATATTCTTAGTTTACCGAAAAAACTAAGAATATGAATTACTGCAGTCACGAAAGCTTTAAATCAAAAAGACACATTTATAGTTACGCTATCTAACTCAAAAAAACCTGTATGGGGGCTTTATTGTAGCTCATGCATTCCTCCAGTATAAGTAAGTATTCTGATTCTGATGTCTGCAGTCATCCTCCAAACACAACAATGCCAGTCCACACATGTTGAGCCTTGAAGCAACATCAGAGGCCATTGCCCTGTTTGGGTGAACTCTGTTGCCCTGTCCCACCATCCAGCCCAAATCTGACATCCTCAGATCTTCATCCGTCTGATGATTTTTCGAAGGATGGCCTTCACGGGAAACATTTTGAAATTGGCACTGGTGTACGGCATATTGGGCGCTAATGCTGAAGTGATGCTTCAAGACTCATTTTTCAACTGCGATGGAATGCTGGCCCTGGTTCCACTTTTTCGATGCCGGTACATGGAAAAAGACTGAATGGCTAAATGTGTATCTATATTTAGTTTAATTGTGCTCAATGGAGATTCTAAACAGTCGCACTACAAAGATGTCAGCACGTGAAAAGCAGGAGATTATTTTCAACAATTTATAATGCTGAAGTCAAAGCTTTAACTTGTAAGCTGACACCAACTCTTCTTGCCATCACCGGCATCCACAGACAGGTCTTGATGGATTTCATTGAGGTTGTGTTTAGGGCTCTTACGATTCATGATTCTTAGCCGAGTGGCAAGATGTTATCTATCCCGCCGGGTAATACAGGAGATTGTGGATTCTATCCCGACCCTGACGCCTGTATATTTGGAATTTGCGTGGATTTTACTTCGGATCCTCCGTTTTTTTTTCCTCCACTTTTAGCAACATGCATTTTAGATTATTTAGCTGATATACGTTTCCAAAGGATACGCCACTTAGTTGAGCAATCATTTGTGGCCAGGTTGTTTCTGAAAAAGAGCTATATAGCTCAGTGGGCCTTACTTGGTCAAATATATATTTTTTATAATTTTAACAGTACAGTTTATAACATTTCCCTCTTCTGGTAGTGCCGCATCTTACAACTACGTTTGTTCGACTGCCTGTGTCGGGTATCAAACTTATGTTGCCAAATTCATAGCGCAGTGCATTCTCAACTGTGCCCCCACCGCTCCACGCTATTATTATGTGATTAGCATAATTTATATACACTGTAAATAAGCGATTCTTATAGGCACATTTTGATGGATGTTTCATGCACCTAAGAATCAATATTAATTGATGAATCGATGCATCATTACCTAAGCTAGCTTCTGCCTGACCTTGATGTATTTGGACACATCGCCCAGCTAAGCTAATCTTATTGATAAATCTCCGGTCTCGGTTTAGTGCCTGGTATTAATGCTGTGATAAGCATAGGTGACATAGGCAGTTTAACCTAGGACGTCATAAATCGCCGTGAAACCACCATCGTAGACTACGCTGCATATTGTTGTGTGTTACTCGTCATCCGGTTAATTTGATAGTATATTGCAAGAAGTGATCAGAATCGGGATATTTATACTGGAGGAATCCGATGAGCTATGAAGCTCTTTTTCACAGATTTGCGGTCGGGGCGGGTCAGAACGTTACAACAACAAATAGTATAAAAAGACGATAGGTTTGCAAAGTGTAGGAAATGTAAGCAAATCACACAAAAAAAACGAAACCGTTTTTATTTTACCAGGTAAAGCCCACTAAGTTATTAGCTTTTTTTCAGAAGCGACCTGGCCACAATTGATAGCTCAACGAAGTGGATTATCACGTGGAAATTTATAGCATCCAGATAACCTAAATAATGATGATCCATCCAACGATGGTCGGGTTTATTGTGGTATGTTTACGCATAAATGTCCCTTCTTTTACAAGGAGAGTCTCACTGTGTGTCAGAAGACGTTTTAAAAGATGTTTCTGCATTTCCACGCTTGACGTTTTTTTTTAACTAGTACTTTGCATTTGGAGTAGTGATTGGCACATTCATCTACAAACTTGGTTACCTGAGTTCCATCTCTGTGCCAGGTGGAAAATATTCCCCCCTTGTACCCGATTAGAGTGGCTACGGTGCTTACAGTGACAGATCTATATATATTACCTGCAGGCTGTGTCGAAATGGTAGGCCCTATGTGCTCTGTACTTTTTGCAATGGAAACCAATTAATTTTCATTATTTCTTAATATTGCCATAATTTAAATTATAGTCTTAGCTGAGCTGTAATTTTCTCTGGAACATTCCAAGTTTTATACCTCAAACTGCATACATGTTTTGTTACACTTTAACACATCAATTATTACACAGCCATTAACGTCCTGCATTTCAAACATACATTTTTTTTGCTCAATTTTTATTGTCATACATTAACACGACCCTTCCACTCTCAGAACGTGTTGTGTTTATCATTACGGCACTGTTTGATTGCGTCACGGCAGTGTATTTACACGAGCCAGTTTCAATACCTAACGGTGATCGTACAATACGTGACGATGCAGAATGCGCGGAACACAATAACATCTTCATCAGAATACTCTGAGCGAAAGGCATGCGAATTTGTGTTGACCAAAGAAGGGTATTTTTTTTTGCATGTGCATGCTCCCGTTTGTGTTCTTGTCAGTGGAACAATGCTGCTGTGTTGGAGCAGTCGTACGACTTTGTATGCCGCTTGGCATCGGGGGAAACGCACGTTGCGTTCGGTCATTGAACTCCAGCAAGCGGCAGACGGTGTAGGTCAGGGGCAGGGAACCGTGTCCTTAATTAGGGTCCGAACAGGACTTCGAACTTATATTCCTGGGCCGCACACTTAACACACAGCAGCAGCATTATCCAATAATAATGCAAAAAAGTAACTTGCATGTCGAGGCCTTTGCAGTGACATGAGTGACCATGCGTGCTGACATTACAAAAACGGTGTTGCCACGTTGAAAATATTCTCCTCCAGTACTCGACCAGTGCGGCTTCAGACTCTTTCATACACGGTTGCGTAGAATTTGCGGGTTGTTTGGAAGTGGCTTGCAATGCGGCTTAAAGTTTGCGGACGGAGTAAGAGTATACCCCCCACCCCATAGTCCAGTGGTTCCCCACTCCTGATTGCAGGGGGAGACCTGTGTTGAACAGAGCCCCATTCTAAATACAGTTTTACATTATTGCCCCATAGCATGTGGTGAGATGGAGCCACCCCAGCTTTGAACATTTTTTTTAGCAGAAACTGCATATCAATATTGTGTGAAGTATGCAGAGAGAGTGAATACAGGTGTCTTGGCTTCAACGTAGTCCGATCATCTCTGTAAAGAATCTAATTATAATCCACTGGCCCAAGAGCCATGACTCGGATCGTTCTTCAGTGCCTAAATTAATGTACGCACATAAAATTGAAGCAGATACATTGGTCTTACTGAAGGCTCTATTAAATTAGTCTTCCTTATGTACACGTTTGTTTCCCTCTTGATCATTTTTTTAATCCGAGCGTTTTTTAATCCAACGAGCGAAAAGTTGTTCTCATCTCCTTTGCAGTCCCTGGAGCCTCCCAACAGATATTCCTGTGACAGGAACCAGTTGATCCATTGCACAATTGGTGTTGATTCTCATACCCAAAGTAGTGCCAGCTCAGCAAGTGGTACCTAATTGTGTACCATCCCTGGAGGAACGAATATGATTATGATGATATTGACTCTGGCCAGGAGTTCAACTCATCAGCTTCTTGGTAGGATCCCAGGTGTCTCTTCGTTGAGGCCATTGTTTATCAACAACCCCCGCGTTTGTATTGTCCAGCAGGTCGTAACAACAAAATACTTCGATGGCAGCTGTTTATTTTTGTTGTGCGTTAAATTACCCCAAAGTCCTTCGGTTGGTTTTATACGACGGTTTGATTTGTAGATGTTCCTCGTGTGATATATCCACGCGCTTGTGCACGTGTTGCACCCTAGACCTTGCTCTTAACATCCTTTTTTTGCTGGCAAGCTACCGGGGAGGCTTGTTTGTTGAGTGCAGAAAAAAATCCCACTCGCGTATGCGTGCAATCGTGATCGCTCGCGGATCCGTTGATGAATTAAAAAAAAATGTCCAAGCCGTAGCAAAGACGCATTGGGTCTCGCGGTTAGAAATTGTGTTCAGCAGATGACGGCTTCCTCCGCTTGCAATGCTGTGAATTTTTTTTAAATACGTATAAAAGCTATCCACCGATTTTTCATAGACCGGTAAAACAAATGTTCTCTCCCTGCTCAGACCATAAACTTGTCGGCCGACACGAAGTGGAATGGGCGGTTTAGTATTTTGCCATTGCGTTGTGTCGCAAATTGGGAGTGTATTAAAATCCCCTTTGTTACGTGGTTAATCGCTTAATAGAACATTGTTTTAAGTTGCATCAAAACTCAAAGCGAATTCGACGCTTAAAAGTTGATGGAATTATGTTGCATCATTGGTGTTGTGATGTCTTGAGTGAACATATCATGGGACCTCCTTTGCTAGCACCAAAATATGAGAATAGTTTTTTCCCCCCTTTTTTCTGGCAACAAAACAGCGGTGTTAAGTTGTTAAAACACCAAACTGAAACCTTTTACAAGGAATCATGTCTGCATTAACCACAATACTTGTGGTCAGAATGCAAACAAAAAACATACTCTGAATATATGCATTGTCTTTGAAACTGATTGGTCCACACCAGAGAGCTTTCTTTTGGGAAAAGGGGAAAAACCTATTCTCATATTTTGGTACTGGCAAAGGAGGTCCCATGATGTGGCTGCTCACCCCGAGCTCTCATTACTCAGGTAGTGGCATTGTCTTTGAGCTGTACGCCTTTTGGCGTCCTCTGGTCTAGCACCGTTATGAGACGAGGCTCAAAAGAAAGCTGTCTCTGGTGTGGACCAATCAGTTTCAAAGACAATGCATATATTATCAGTGTTTTTTGTTTGCATTCTGACCACAAACATTGTGGCTAATGCAGAAATGATTCCTTGTAAAAGGTTTCAGTTTGGTGTTTTAACAACTTAACACCTATTCTTAGTTTTTTCGGTAAAACTAAGAATATGAATTACTGCAGTCACGAAAGCTTTAAATCAAAACTTAACACCTGTTTTTGTTGCCGGAAAAACCTATGGAGTGAACATGTGAACACTTTTATTATTTTTGGTGTAATAGTAAATTCTTTAAACTACATAGTAGTTGTACTCAAAGCTTGTATTGGTACTGTAATCACTGTTTTATTTTTGGGTCATTTGCATAAAATATTAAAATAAATCAATAAAATAGATTGTCGGGGAAAAAGTTATATTTTCAAATTAATCTGTCATTGGCCTTTAAAACTAGGTAAGAGTCCATTGAGGCAGAACAATTTTTATGGTTTATAATTGATTTAATTTAAAAGCCAACTTGTTATGCATGAACGTGCCTTTTTGAGATGGAGAATTTCCTGTCAAACCTGATCGTTTGTCAATGGCACTGGGTTCTCAACAGGACGCTGTCAGATTCAAAAGCTGGGGGGGTGGAGGCGTATTGGTGAAGAATTTACATTTTTACTGTCTTCTCAGAGCCAGATTGGCATCTCTTGCCACTTAGTGGCCTGACAGGTAGGGATGATGAAGGTGGAGTTTTAGGCCTTTGAGCCAATGTCTCATCTTGATTAAAACATGTTTTTGCCGGACTCGGTGGCAAACCTGGAGCACGCCTCTTGTTTGCAGGGTTTTCGGCAATTTTTCACCGCTTGGTTACAGCCGTGAGATTCCCCCGGCTTGATACAAATTGAAATCGCACGTGGAATTTCGTGAGCTCATTTTTACAGGCGTGAGCGGGCTTCATTGTTGTCGCGAACGTCGCCAAGATCGTCCGTTGGCACTTCCACAAAGAGTTGTCATCCTCATCCGCCATTCGAGATGTTCAGCTCTGTAAGAAAATCAAGAGTTGAGTAATAACATCAAAACTGAAGACCGATGCAGTGGCTTTCCAATTTCTTTTTGACTGCAATTTGTGGTTTAACCAAAGCGAGGCTACAGAGCTTTTCTGATGCTGTGGAGGTTTTATATTATTGCCTTTTTAGGTCACGCAACTTGAGTCTCAATGCTCTCAGCACATTCAACTTTCTCTTTTAATTTTTTGTTTCCCTACGAAAGCTTCAAGGCTGTGCTTGGGATCTTTGGACAATTCCTTTTGTATTGTTTGCTTGCGAGAAGGAATCGCGACGCCCGGTTAAAAACTTTGCGGATGTGAGAGGCGTTAACCCTTCAACGCATATCCGGCTCCATATCCACACCCAGCCTGGATCACCGGCTCCAATCTTCGCATGAGCCACCGCACCTAGACTCCACTTTGCTCGACTGCAGATGTGCATTGTCCACCACCTCTGCGATATGCATCGCAGCAGTGGCAGCAGCAGCAGCAGCACAGCTGTTGCAGCTCCTAGGCGTTATACACGGTTGGACCAGACGGAGTCGGAACGCTTCGCACATCCCGGCAATGTGGGGCAGAACCTCCTGGACTTGGCTACTGTAGCCCACGCCGGCAGAAGGCAGCATCCTTAACGATCCGGCTCCTGCTGCAAACCGCAGCTGAGTTTTGTGCAGCGATGGTTACACGCGGCTGTCCGCCACCGCGCTCGCGCTGACGGAGCCACTTCCGCCTCGCGTGATGGCGGCGGCGTCTCCGTCTCGCTCGGGACCGGCGGGAAGCTGGCGCCCGTTGGGGGAGCGAGCGTTGCCGATGAGGCTGTGGAGGGAGTACGAGGAGCTGAATCCCGGCGTGGACGACGACGGCACGAGGCTGTCACGCGCCGAGGCCAGCATGGACGCGTTGTGCGACGGCTCGCGGTTCATGCCGCGCGACGCCGCCGCAGCGTTCTGCGGCGTCTTGAAGTTGCACGCGATGTACCTGGCGGAGAGGGTAAAAAATAAGAGATGAATATGCATCGCTGCAGTTTGCTTGGTCACGCCGCTGCCGGTGGAAGGGTCTCCTACGAGTGGGAGCTGCTCGAGATGGCCTAGGTCTACTCTTCAATGCTGGCTGCGCATCTTTGAAAGGGGTGCCTGGGGAAATCCCATGCATTTGGGAAGAGCATGGATAAACTCTGCGAGGATTTTCTACGACAAGCCTTCTTGATATACTGCCTGCTATAGGGCACCTCGTTGTCCAGCCATGTCCGCATTGCCTTTTTTTCACTGTTATTTTAAAATCTGATATTACCCCAGACTAATGAAAGAGTCCATGGGGTGAAAATAATGCGAGTGTTATTAAACATGTCCTTTTGATGTAATGGAAGCTGTATATTTAAATGTGCTCGTTCAATTGTTTTGATTGGGAGATTGAAAATGTGTCTAAAAAAAAAAGAAATTATTGTAATTGTCTGACAATTACCACCAGATATGTGGCGAAGCTTACATTGCAAGGGGGAGTTGTCATTTAAATAATAATGGCACGGTTATTTTTTTAATCTTTTAATCGTTTTCAATTAAGTTTATGATTTCATTAAATGATTTGAACTCCTCTTTCAACCAGGAATGCTCATTTTCTACCCGTGTATTTCTGTATTTCACGACCCAGCAAGTGGCCAGTGGCATTAATGAAGTAAAAAAAAACATTGCACGATGTAGCCTCGGCCAGCGGCGTGACCAAGCCAACTGCGGCGCTGCGTATTCGCCTCTTTTATTTTTCACCCTCTCCGCCAGGTACATCGCGTGCAATGTCAGTCCTTCCTAAAAAAAAACCCAGCTAGATCACTGTTTTCAATTATCTGGCTAAGGTGAAATGCATTCAGGCCACACAACACTCCGAGGAAATCCACTACACTCCATTGAATCGGGAGTTCGGGGGTCAATCACTCCACCCTCACTGCAGACGTTTACCCTCATGGCGCAAACATTGACAGACGTTACATTTTTTTAATTGCACTTTTCTTCCCGATCAAACAGCCAGGACCTGTTGTGAATTTTCATTGTCGTTTAGCTCGCCAGTGTGTTTTTTTTTGTCAGTGCCGCGCGTCGTTCTGCACGGGTGTGCAGAGGATGCCCGTGAGTTTCTTTTCGAGCGTGATTTTGCGTTCGTGCTGAACGACGCCTAGCGCGAGCGGTAACCACAACCGGGAAAAAAACGTGTCGGACAGCTGTGGAGCATGACCGCGAAAAAACCTTACGCTTCGCAAATCGGATCTTCAACTCGTAAATTATTGACGGTGATATTGAAATGCTGAAATGCTGAGGTTGGGGTACGTACGTTTAACTTGTTTTGCGCCGTACGTAGCCAACCGTGCCTATCCGAGGTGCGGTATCGACTTGGTTGGAATGCTTTCGACTAGCAAGAAGACCTTTCGAAACATGCGGGCGCGAAGAAAAAGCACTTGCGGGAACGTCTCCGTAACGCAATCGCGGAAACGCACCTTGCGAAGGCCTGCCTGTACGTGCGGTTGAAGAGCGTGTAGACGAGCGGGTTGACTCCGGACGAGACGTACCCCACCCACACGAAGACGTCGAGCAGCGCCGCCATGGCGTGCCTGTTGCACGCGTCCGCGGGGCACAGGGCCGACAGCACGTTTGTGATGAAGAACGGGCACCACATCCCGACGAACAGCAGGAAGACGATGCCGAGCACCTTGGAGGCACGCTGCTCATTGGTTATCGCCTGCATCGTCCGCTTCTGCGACGGCGTCACGCTCCTGCTCTTAGCGCGGCCCGCCCTGTGCGGCAAGAGGGCGGCTTCGGGAGGCGCGGAGACCCCGTCGAGGGCCGACAATGCGACGTGGGGCCCCCCGCCCGGGAGGCCAACGGCTTCGGGCGGTGTCGCGGACGTGAGCGAGGTCGCTCGGCCGCGGCCGTGGTTGTTGTTGCCTCCGCCGCTGCTGTAACTGCTGCTGTAGCTGCTGGAGTTTGAGCAGCCGTTCATGCCCTCGCAGAGCAACGCCTGTTGCCTGAGCACGCGCGTCGTGGACACGTAGCTCGCCACCATGATGATGAGCGGCAGGAAGAAGGAGCTCAGAGAGCCGTAGATGATGAAGTCGGAGATGTTCATTTGGCAGCTGCCGTCCGTGTACACGTAGGCGAGGTCCTGCAGGCCCAGGACTGGCACCGGCATTGAAATGCCTGATGCGGGAGCGCAAAATGGGAGGCACTTAAAGGCCGCGTGCAATAATATAAAATGAAACTTTTGTGAATAATTCTAGGGGCGCAGTGGAGCGGTGGTGGAAGTGCAGTGAGAACTGCGCTACCCGAGTTGAATTTGATCGACCACCATGATCAACGCGACTAACTGAACAAAGGCTTTCATCCAGCAGTGGATTGATGAAGCGCTGTATAGCACACGTAGGATTGACTATATAGCAGTGCGTCTGAGCAGGCAATGTGTGCCAACCTTCGTGAAACGGTGTTGGGGTCTAGCTCCTTGCTCCAGCCACTGTTTAAAAAAAAAAACAGATGCTTCGGGCCGGTAAAAACAATTGGCACCGTTTAACTTAGCGTTCTCTAATTTTATGATGAACACTTGGGAAATGTAAATCTTTCAAATCTTCTTGTCACTTATCAGGAGATGCTGTGCTCATACAAGAGGCCCTCTTAATCGCTGGGACAATGCAAGTCTTGTCATTTTATCAGCAGTAGTGCAAACTTGCTTCAACTCACTGCATTTTTTTCATACCGTAACGAATGAGTGTGTGAATTAACTTTATCGCAGGAATATATTTAAATAACACGAGGCAGGCCAATATCTGATTTTTTCCTTTTTACTTTGTAAGGCCCACTGAGCTATGTAGCTCTTTTTCATAAGCGACCTGGCCACAAATGATCGCGAATCGAAGTGGCTTATGTGGAAATGTAGAGCAGCCAAATACTCTAAACGCATGTTGATTATAAATCTAGAGGGAAAAACCGGAGGACCCGGAGAAAAATCCACATGACCACGGGGGAGAAAGACATGCAACCTCCAAATATAGAGCAGGCGTCAGGGTTGGAATCGAACCCACGACCTCCTGTCCACCAGGCGAGGTACTTAACATCTCTATGCCACTGTCGCGCCCCAATCCATGATGACGACTGACACTTGCTGTTCAAAAGCACTGCTGCCCTCGCCGAAAGGCAATAAAAGAAACCCCACAACACACCCGTCAATTACATTCATCGGCACGTTTGTTTCGGGCAATGGGCCTTGGCGGCACATGTGGAAAGGGTCAGTTATGTGCTATGAAGAAGGGCCCATTGCTCAAGGCCACACAGCGTGATCTTTGTGCTTGTGCACCACTGCCAACGCGGGGATCACCAAATCCGTCGCTTGCCAGAAGATAGTACGGCCTGTTATCCTATAACGCGGTGGGTCGTTGCGTGCCTGGAGAAGACCGGGTTGTGGGATAATGGCCTTGCGATAAATAATATAATATGGAGTGAAGCACGGTGTCACGATAACCCGTGAGATGCGTAACGCAGGCTGGACAAAGACATTAGGCGCCTGGGTGTAGCATCTACAAGGCGATGCTAGGCCAAGGCAGCCGTATGACCACCCATTCCGACTCGCGCGACATAGTCGTGTTCACTCAATTGCGTTGTTATTCAGTTCACGCCCACTTTGTCAAAAAATGTGTTTCCTCGTACATTCATCACGTTGTATCCAATTCGCGTTATGAAAACGCGGTGTTATCGGAGGACAAGCTGTATTTTGAGTTTAGCGCTGATGCTTGGATGCGAGTGATTTGCACCATGAATAACAAGACTACTTACCAACGGATATTACCCAGACTGCGAGGATTTTAAGCAAGGCTTTGGTCCGGGAGTTGAATCGACTGTGCTCAATCGGCTTCTTGATGGCGATGTAGCGGTCCAGGGAGATTGCGCACAGGTGCATGATGGACGCGGTAGAGAAAAGCACGTCCAGGTAAATCCACACGGGGCACAGAGACAGTGGAAGTGGCCACTTGAAGCCTGTGAGCAAAATAATCGATGTGAATTAGGGCTGGCACGGTTGGGTGTGTCCGTAGCTCTTAAAAAACTTCACCAAGATATATTTTCCCTTTTGTTATTTGAAAGTCATCGTTATTCTTGCATTTATGTTTACGTAAACATAGCATGCAGGTGAGACCAATGACAGACATTTTATTAACTTCTCTCTACTGGAGGAAGGGCCTCCACTCGATTGGACTTATTTTTTGACCTGCTCGGCCGCAACGACCAGACATTTTGGAATTACTACAGAATTACTTCACCTCGCCATACGTGATCTGCCGAATGACTGACTAGTGTACCCATTCATACTGCTGGGTGGACGGAAGCTGGAGGGCAGGGGATCGAATTGAACCGATCACCTCAGGATTTCGGGACGGTGCTGAGCATGACAATTCCTGGCATCGTCCCCCCGCAACTCCACGTTGGCCGCTGTTCAGTCTACCTTGTGTTGGCAACCACAGCCGAGACGAATTGGAAGTTATTTTACACGCATCCATTGCGCGCACGCATTTCCATCAGCCTTAGGCGGCGGTTAATTTTTTTTATTTTTTTTGACTGCCAAAGAGGTCGAGGGGTCTAAGACGCTTCATTAAATGTCGGCGGCACCTCTTTAATTGATTACGAGCTAATGGCACAATTTTGAACACGGAGCGCACGAATGCTCGCGGTGTACATCGGTAACGCCAGGAAGATCCATTGTGGGCCATGTTTTGATTAAACTAGTACACAGATAGCTTTGCCTAATTAATGGATGTCGCCTGTTTGCTGGGGCACAGGAGAGTGATCTCTCCGAAGCTGCGATGACTGCCTGTATCATAACCGCAGACCAACCCATTTTGCCCGTTCCACGACACCTAACAACGTTACCAGCCACTCCATCCACAAAGATACCCTAATTTTAATTAATTTTCGAGTCACTCATTCTTGGTTAGGGCGCATTAAGGCTTTGCTAGTTGGAAGCACGCGCACATTTGTCCTTGGAAATTGCAAATGTCGCTGTGCTCTTTAAATAATTTGCACCGGTCCCGTGGCCTACATTCTATTCGATTGAAAATCAGTCCTGTGTTCTTGTGACATTATTGCACGGATTAGTTTTGTAGAGGGGCACTGTGAAGAAAAGACATCCCGTGTTGCCCTAAATTAACTGCCCGCAATAAATAACATTTCTCCTGAAGCCGAACAGGACTCCCATCGCAAACCTGCTGCTTGTAACCTAACACAAATTCCATGTTTGAAAGGATTTTAAACAGTAAATAAATGAGAGCCACGAGCAGCAGTTAGGAAAATGAATTACTGTGCACGCCACGAGGTTGACTCCGAAAGACGCGAGAGGCGGTAGTTTCGTGCCTGCGGGAATTTGTGTACTTTGCGCGCACGCGTTTGCGAGCGTGCGTGCGCGCACGCGCGTGTGCATGTGAGGAAATTTGCCTGTCCGATTCATTTACTGCACACACTGGGAAGCATAAATAACGGACGGTGCCTCTTGGCAGAGCAAAGCACTCGTGCTAAGAGCGTCCCTTTTAAGGTGTCGGCCGCATTACTTATTGCAGTTATGAGGCGGTTGGCCATGACTCCCGCGCAGAAATGTATGGCTGCATGGCGCGTTACAAGTGCCAGACCATCATTTTAGCAGAACGACGGATCTTTGCAGCAAAAAAAAACAACTCTATTTGAGGCTCTATTAAAATAAATGCCTCCTCTCTTTTATACTTTCAAACTTTTGGTTGACAGAGTTGATGCGTTAGCTCTGTCTTTCTGTCTCTGTAATCGGGGGAAGGGCATGACAATTCCCGTAGATAATCCAATATGAACAAAATTTAGCATGAAGTATTTTTGTCATTTGGGTCTTGCCCAAAAAAAAATTGGCCAAATTGGCAAAGGATTGCCCAAATTTGCCGTGCTAGTCAAGGCGGATGCGATCATTCGTGTGTCATCGTGATATAATGTAATTGTCATCTTCCAACATAGAGTTTCTTTATTGGCTATCAGCCCTGGTTATTATATCAACAAACCCTCAAAAGCGATGCCGCATCTGCTGAGGTGTGTGTGTAAGCAGGGGGGGGGTCGTAAGCGGCGGTGACAGCCTCACCGTATAGGATGTTGAGCAGCGAGATGGGCATGACTAGGATGCCCACCAGCATGTCCGCTACGGCGAGCGACATGAGAAAGTAGTTGGTGGCCGTCTGAAGCTTCTTCTCGAGCGACACGGCGAGGATGACCAGAACATTGCCGGCAATGGTCAGGAACACCACCACGAAGAGCAGCAGCACGGGCAGGTTCAGGTGGCCCACGCCCTTGCGCAGATCCACGGAGATGTTGCCCCCGCTGCCGTTGACGACGGATGCCGTCTCCCCGGCCGTCGCGTCCAGCCAGCCCGCCGGCCGCTGCCTTCCGGCGGACACGTTCGCCAGCGCCTCCGGCTCGCCGCTCGCCTGCATGACTGCCGGCCGCCGTCCTCGCCGACGATTTTATTTACGCCCCGGCTGCGCGGGGAAGCTGGAGCGCCCGTCGGAATCGCTGCGCCAGCGTGCCATTTGACGAGCGGGCGATGGTGCCCCCGTGTCTCTTTTTTGACGGGGGGGGGGGGTGGGGGGTCTCGGATCGTGCTCGCAGTTTGAAGAATTTGGCCGTCGATGCGGTGCGTTGCTGCGTCGCCGAGGCTAGGTTTTTGGAAACCTTGAAGGTTACGTTTCCACTGATGTTATGTTTTTATTTTTTTGTTATTCTCATTGGGTAAGTTTTTTTTAATCATCACGTAGCGCATTTTAATTAGTGTAAGCGTATGCGCTCAGCGGTCTCTCAAAAAGCTGTTCTCCGTGCGATTAATAAATTGTATAGTAGCTGCCAAAAAGGGAATCTGTTTTTATTTTACATGCAGAAACGGGTTTTGGTGGGCAGTGGAGAAAAATATCTCGCTGCATTTTTGAGATGACATAAGAAACCACGTACTTTGTGCGTGGGAGAGGAGAGGGGACTGATCTTAGACGGCACTTCAACGATCCTGAGCGCTCCTTAATTGACGAAACGATTGTTGTGTACAAGGAGCGCTGCCCTTTTATTTCACACGGACGCTTTCTGATGTTGGGCACCCTCAAGTGCGCGTTATTGTATCCAGTTGCAAGGGTGCTCGGGAGTACTGAATTAGCCCGAAGTGGGAGTTATTGACTCCCACCGTTGGCGGGTGGTGGGGGGGGGGGAGGGCTATCTTTTACACCGACGGCAGAATCGGACGGAGTAATCTGCGGTCGCGAGCGGTCCCCCGTGCTGCTGACGCCGCCTGTCGAACGTCATCGGCGATCGCGTTTCGGAGGCCAGAGCGTCGCTGCGGATCCTGAAAGGAGAACAAGATGAATGAACCGCAAACGCCCACTTCACGGCTCGGCTTATAGTGCAGTGAAGAAAAGCGTCTTCGGCCCCAAGTCGATTCACCACGTCGATTATACTCCACAACTGAGCACTGTGGGTAGGGTCAATCCACCGATGCAAGAAGGGCCTCCCCACGCTGCGCCGGGTCATGGGAGCTATTTCACCGTACTTCATGATGCCGATTGGTCAGGGTCTGTGGAGGCGGGCTGCATAGATGTGGGAGGAAAGAAGTGAAGGGCAAGCTAGTCTGTGCCGGGCAGTGAAGAGGCAGGAGTCATAGGCATGAGAGCATTGAAGTACAGTACAGCAATGGAATTTGTTTGAGGCCCTCATCCAACAGTTAATTGACGAAAGGATTGTTGCGCACACGCACATTTTGATTAATAGAACAAACAAACGGACCATACGAGATGAACAATACAAACAGTACAGACAGCGTGAATAATTACCGATTCTTCAATGGAAAGATGCTCACAAAAACAATTGAATCGTCGGTGGAGGGGGTGAGGGGGGTGTCAACCGGTGCGTTTATTGTCCTAACTCGCGTTAACATCACGTTCACCTGGTCTGCGTGTGTGTGCGAAAGTTTGGTGAACGTGGAATTGTGGCCGGCCGTGGAATTTTGTAGACTTCTGTGTCCAATCTACTTTACTGCTTCTCTGGCACAAGTGTGTTTTAAACGAGTGGCATATATTTCGCTCTTGACTTGCCTAGATGTAAACCTGGGTACAATTTTACACACATCTATAGATTGTCGTTTTTTTAATCGTTCATTTTCACCTGCCGGTCGCTGGGAAATGACTTGAACGCTTTGAGCGGCGATATTGATGCGCATGTGCGCTTTAAGCGTCTCTGAGATTAATTATTATCCCAATTACTTTGGTGACTGGTGCTGTACCAAAAAAAAAAGATGGAAGTGGATCCCTTTTTAAAATCCGCTTCATCTGTAATTAAATGCAGAGGGGACCTTTTTTAATTGAAAGGACAAATAAGCCTAAGCCTTTTTAAAATGCACCTGTTAAGAAAAAAAAGAGCAAAGGCACGCTTCACGTGGGAACATTATGCACATTTTAGAATCTGGTTAGCGGAAATTGTTCTTGTAAAGACGGAGGATAATGTAAAGGAGCAGCCGAGCACACTCAATGGCTTTTGTCACGGTGTTTAAGGGAGTAATGCTTAAAAGTTCACGGTGTTCTCAATATCTATTGTTCGCTTTAATACCTTGGGCTTAACCCTTTCCTGTCCTGAGACGTCTGCAAGTTGCGGGGTGCTGAATCTCGGAACGCGCTAGCGTCTCGTCGATAAATTTATTTGGCGAGGCGTAGTAGCACTGTCGTTTTTAAAGACGTGCTTACCACGGAGAACCATAGCGACACGACTTTAACTCTGATAGCTGGCACCAAACTGCCACACACGCCCTCCTGCATGGCCTTGTGGGAGCCTCGGTACGTCTTCTGACCTGAAGACGTACTGATTAAGTTTTTATTTTCGTTTTTTTCCTATTCCGTTCCAATGACATACACGCACATTGGAAGAAAACTGATGACGTACACTTTTACGTACATCATCAGAATTGGAAAAGGTTAATGAGCTCGGATTCGCCAGTAGAGACGGTGCACACGCTTGATGGAGAGCGACTTGGTGGTGGAGTATGCAGAGACTGAGTCGTTACTTGTGTGACGGTGGCGAGATGTTAACTACCTCGCCCGGTATACAGAAGGTTATGGGTTCGATCCCGACCCTGACGGGTGTGTTTGGAGTTTGCGTGTCTCTCTCCCCGTGGTCGTGTGGATTTTTCTCCGGGTCTTCCGATTTTTACCTCCATATTTAGAATGAACATGCATTTACAGTATCAATTACCACGTGATAAGCCACTTCGTTGGGGTATCAGTTGTGGCCGGGTTGCTTCTGAAAAAGGGGTACAGCCTTACCTGGTAAAATAAAAAATAGCATAGTTGAGTGTGAGACACCTACTTGCAGGGCAAGTTTGAGGCATGCTGTGCTGCATAAGGGCAATATAGAAGGCAGTACAGCAAGGAGGTTTGACCTCGGTGCGAAGTATGTGTCTGCAACCCTTGTATCCACAAGCTTTCTCTGGGTGCTCTAACCTCTTCCACGTACGGAGTCACTCAGACATTACTTTAAAGGAAGAAGTGAAGCAATAAGCAGTTGTCTCTTTTTTTTTTGTCAGCACCTGGCAGGGATGCAACGATGCATTATTTTACCCATCGTCGCGATACATTCACGGAATCGCGCGTCTGAGAGTTGCATTCACGATGCGTACATCGTGCCAAGTAGGTGCACGGGGCTCGTACTGCCACTGGAGGGCCGCTGGCATTCATCTCGACCCCCGGGTTGTGACAATCGGTGGAATTGCGAGGCGGTCCGATCAGTTATGCCTGCGTCCAAAGGGATGCGCGACACAACGTTTGAAACGTCAGTAGTGAAGTAAACCACGACATCCAGATGTGCCTTTGTATATCTTTTTTTAAACCTCACACGTGTAGCGCACATCCCAGGACAAGCAAACTAGTTGTGTAGCTACATGATATGAGCTGGGGTTTTTTTTAGGGGTACATTTTAATTTAAAAAAAAACACTCCCGAGTACTTGGAAAGTAATCCCCATACCTGGTCATCGCGCACCCCACATCCCAAGAGGCTGTTTTTTCTTACCCACACTTTACCCCACCGCAGACATTCTTTCTCGAAAGCTCACTGCAAGTGTGCCGATATTTATTTCTTGAAACTGTTTCGGTTGATTACCCTACTATATGTATATAAAATTGTGGTTATGGAATCGGTGCGCCGTGCGACCAAAGGCGCTTCCACGCCGAGCTCTCGGTAAAATGCAGCGCCATGTGTACAAACCCCCGAGTTCGAGAATGGCCTCTTGAAGATCACAATGCAGAACCACTTCTGCTTGACAATCCCCTTCAACGGTGCTTTGTTATCCACGCGTGAGGCACTTGCAGTAGAAAAATGCCCTCTTCACGACGGCACTTGGTTCCACGAAACCGGTCGTTAAGTGATCTGGTCGTTAAGTGATCTGGTCGTTAAGCGAGTTTAGGAAATACACGTTAAAGGCTTAATTCGTTCCGATAGCGTTAAAGGTTACCCTTTTTCACTGAAAAAACTTGCTTTATAATATTAAAACAATGGATATTAATTTGTGAAGATACTAACAACGTTATAAACACATAATATTAAAAAGAAACGTGGTTAATCAGTGCATGTCTTACTATTTACTGTGCCTACAACTGCCCGTCGTTAGCAGGGGAATCGTCGGTCAGCGAACACCTTGAGCTCTGTGAAGGTCCGTCGTTTAGCGATTAGTCGTTAACAGGGGTGGTTGTTAAGAGGCGTTCTACTGTATTTGTCTCACTCCCCCTGCTGTGGAGATGTATTTCCCCCATTATGATCGCAACAATTGCATTTTTAATCTACAGACCTGCAAAAAAAAACCCCTGCTATGGTCAAAGTCCAAATGTAACGTGATTGTTTATTCTATTTAACGCCTTCACTGGGGACTCGGCTTTTGTCATCAACTCGCTACACTCGCGCACCCAGGTTTCATCAGGGGTGGCTGAAACCTGGATTCGAACCCACGACCTCAGCCGTGCTGGCACGGTGCTCTCAACACGCCGTTTAACCCCCCACACCGTGAGCCACCTGAAACGCCTCTCAAACGCGTACACGTGCGCTTTTACCGGCAAGCATCGGAGACGCAATCGCGAAGGCAGGAACCCGGGCCGACGAATCTCTCCGCCGAGACTCCGGATCGTACGACCGCCTCGACAGAGAACCTCGGTGCAATCCGCCGTCCGCGGCAGATGCGACGACCACGGGCGCGGAAACTGTTTTTGCGCGAGCGTGCGGCAATTGTGTCTGCGCGCGTGCGCATGCCTGCGTGTGTTTGCGTGCAGGACCCCGGAGCAGTGCCCGAGCGTGGTGTCCCTGCTGTCGGAGAGTTACAACCCCCACGTGCGTTATGGCGCCGCGCTCGCCCTTGGAATTTGCTGCGCAGGGACTGGGAATAAGGTACCCTGTGCCTGAGAGATTTCACCCAAACGCAATTCCTTCCTCTCCTCCCCCTCGCGCACGTTTGACCGGGTGTTGTTTACTTGCCATTTTTGTGTGTGTGTACGCGTGGCAGGAAAAAGAGTGTGGCGATTTATCGGCGCGTTCGATTTTTTTTTTGGGGGGAGCGACGATTTGATTTACTATTTCGCATTTTCGTTAAATTTTTTTGTCTCCTGGTGACTCATTTGTTGTTGTTTAAGCTTGTGTCCTCGGTCTCATCTTGTCTAAATTGTTCCATGAGCCCAAATGCATGTGAGCATTTACTTTGTCGTCATCACCATCCACGTTAAAAAGCCACTCCTGGATGAAGATATTCGCAAGCCCATCGCCGACTCGCCATCCTGCGATGCAATAATCCAGCGAGCACTTGCACACGGGCCGATTTCATCGCTCCCGGTCTACTCGTTGGACGTTCGTTGCAGATTTGTAAATAATATATGTGCTTGGGCTCATGATTCCACACACGGATAATCAGCGAAATAATTAAATGATGACTCATGACGTAACTAGTGACATGTCCATTTGCTTTTTGACGTAACTTTTTCACAATATGCAATGCGATTGTGACACGGATATTCTCTGCTGTGCATAATAGCACATTATCTATCCCATGTATATTAATATAACTAATGCATGGCTCTGGAGATAGACACTTCAGCCATGTGACCAGCGGTGTTGTCTAATTTAATGAACAATAGGCTGCCCACTAAAATTCACATTAAAGCCATTTTTCTTGAGTCCACAGCACATCACGTGTCTCCCACTGCAATTAATGGACCAGCTATTCATCTCGGTGATTCCTTTATCTCTCGGTGCAATTACAGTATTAGATATATCGACTGCATGTAATGGCGCTCTCCTTGTTATGAGTAACGAAATAAAGA